TAAATAATGTTCACTGCATATTATTTATTTTTTTAGTCTTCACAGCAGTTCCTGCCAATAACACCATCATCATCATCCTCTTCCTCAGAGCAGGGATCTTTCTGCTTTTGCTTTTTGTTACTGCTGCTGTTTCTATTAAATGCAGAAAAACTAGAGTTACCGAGGAACGCCAAACAACAGGTACCTGATCTATCAAAAGAAACTTAATCTTTAGGAAACTTTAATAATTAAAAAAAAAGTTTTATTATTTTTTAAAAGATAAAAACACTTTTAAAAAAATGCAGACATGCATACAAAGATGTTAAACTTTCAAGAAAGTCAATATTTAAAAGGATGAACTACATCATATTAATTCTTTTGTTAGTTTGAGTATTTCAATGTGTTTCAGTAAATTGCTCATCTTCTATGATCCTTTCCCAAAGAGCTGAAATCATATTCTTTTTAGCTCATTTCTGTTTCTGACATTTAAAGCTTATGAAAGATTTTCTTCACTTAAGGAAGAACATTTTCAAAGGTGCAGTGTAAGAACGGACTTAAACTGGAAGGAAACTAGTCTGTTTTGTAGCAACTCTACTGGTAGATCAGAAAAAGCAAAAATCGAGTGTGATCATGAAGTATTTATTTATTTATTTTTCTTTCAGAAGATCAAGATTCAACCCATGAAAGCCATCACTATGTGAGTATTGATGCACTAAATGGTTTAATGTTCACTTTATCTGTCTCCCAGAGCAAAAAAAGTTTCGTTTTTTTAAAGCCCGTCCAAAAAGCGGTGTGGGGGGGGGGGGGGGGTAAAATATTATACATAAGCATGTTATTTATTATCATCTATGAACTGATAATGAACTGTTAGTTTATCAGTTCATAGATGAAAAACTACCATCTTCTTAACACACCCTCCCCAAGAGTTAGGACGTGAACCAGGGACTTAACTAAACTCAAAAACAAACAAACATGAATAAACCAAGAATAATGATCTGGCCCTGATAGCCGGGCTGCTCCGTATATAAAGCAGACCGAACAGGTGGATAAGATGATTGATAATTACAGTGCGGGGGAGGGAACGGCAAGTGAATGAAGTGAGTAATTAGATAAGCTACCGGGGCTGCGATCATCACAGGTGAAGCCCAGAATAAGTCGTCTAAAGTCTAGAATTCAGAACAGTTATTGGTCATTTTAATGGCAGTTAGTGAAATTTTCTATTCAGGCTTGAGTTTATTTGCCAGACGACACCAACTATTGCTCCTGCTTCAGCCTTGAGGTGTAGTCTGAGTGGTAGAGGTGTAGAGGAGCTCAACGCCTCACCAAAGCACACAGAAGGAGAAAAAAGCGTCCCTCTGCTTTGTGACTGCAAGGCCAGACACCCATGAACCACAGGAGGAAACAGAGCTTGGGGTAAATAGGCGAAAGGCTTTTGCATCTTTGATATGTGGTTCTTTGAGTGCATGTGTGGTTAAAAGAAATGCATGAAACCTTATCTGTAAAACACTGAAACTAAGAGTTGTGATCAACTGTTGCAAAAAACTAAAAAGTGTGCTATCTTTAAGTGACAGTTTGTGAGAAGTGAAGTGAAACAAGTCAAACCTGATGAATACTTTTGCAGCAAATACATCCTAAGAACTAAAATAAAATCAAAATGAACTAGAATAACACAAAATGGAAATAAAACTAATGAAAACTTAAAGATAAAACTAGATAAAACAGAACCAAAACCATTACAACGCTGGGCTAAAACTATTTCCATGCCAGTGGTCTCTGTAAGGGTGGATAAATGTTTACTGTCCATTTGTTCTCATGAAAAGGAGCAGTTCAGCTTGACCTTTAACTCTGTTAAGGCTTTTAATCCCCCAGATTCTCGGAGAAAAAGGTAAGACCTTATCAAGCTTCGCAGATTTATAACTGTCCCATTTTAAATACATTTTTAATTGACTCGGTCACACCAATGACCAAACTTTATCTGTAATGCACGTTGAAGACTGAGTTAGTTAATATAATAATATTAATATAATATGTTTTTTCTCAACATTATTCAGTTTGATGCCTTGTTCAGAAAATGCTCAATATTTTTACTGAGGCACATTATTTATTACAACATCATGAACTATTAAACTGTTTTTTTCTCATGGTTTGAAAACATGTTAAACTACCACAGACCAGTAAAAAGTCTTTAGATGAAACTGAAACAGTTTGTCGTTTGTGTGCTGCAGGTCAGACATGATGAAGATACGGTGACTTATCCTGCTGTTAGGACTAAACGGAAGAAAGAGGATGATTGTAATCTCAGCGGTTTCAACAGTAACACCTCTGACGCAAGTTTAGCCTAATAAAGAAATGAAATGTCTCATATCAACTCCGCATTTATTAAACTTTATTAAACTTGTTACGGAGCATAAATCTAAGTGTTTCATTATAAAAGCATATATTTTTATGTTTGACAGCATCCTGTATCATAATTATATCTCTGCTGTTCCTAACAAAGCTAAATCTATATAAAAACGCAGATATTATTTTAGGAATCTATCACTGGCCAGGTAACTATTCTACATCAGTAAAAAGCAATAGACTGGGGAGAAGGGTCCCTCCATGATGGCTACCTTCCTGCTTCCCCAGCAGTCGATCCAGTGATTGTTCGTCTGTGCACAGTGCATGCTGGTTAGATCCCTGTCTGACTTTCTCTTAATGTCTAGAGCACATAAGCAATTTTAACCTGAGAGATCAGAATGAGTTCATCTCTCTGAGCCTGCCGCTGCAGTTGATCAGAAGCAACTGTGGTGGCTGCATGGCATGGTGCATTATTGGAAAGCGCCCCCATAACCGGTGACTGGATAGTTGATTGGGTCTAATTTTTGTAAATCAAAACATACAAACTTGAACAATTAAACAGTAGCATACTTATTGCAAGTATTTGCTCAAAAAATGCTTAACAGGCTGTTTAGATTCTACCTCTCATCCAACCTCAGTGCTGCTTGGGCAAATCTCCACCATGAGCCGCTCCACCTGTCACTCAGTCATCTGTGGGTTACACATCTACCGCAGGGCTCAGCTCTTCACTCCACTAGGTTTAGCGAACTCGGGGGTAAGCACCTTTATTGTTCACAAATAAAACTTGTGTTACAACCTCTCCTCTATTGTCACATACAAATAAAACTTTTTTTTCAAACTGTCCTTAACACACAAAAAATTTGTTTTACAAATCGGACTCTAACATTGCACTTAAAATGTACAAGACAATTCTTCACACTCTGCGGTAAGTTTCTGCCAAAAGTCACGTGCTCCATGGAGAATTGTCATTCTGACTAACCGACAGCAGGAGGGGCCATTCAATCAAAACAACTGAAACGTGCAGGTGTTATGTGGAGCTGCGTTTCCCCATCAGATACGGTTCCCCCTGCATCTCAGCACAGAGCAGGAGGCAGATTCACCGCACAATGCTAAATGAAAGGGAAGAAAGTTAGAAAGGGAGAAATCGGGATGGATGGATGGATGGATGGAT